TAGGGTGTATGTAGCAGGTAATGTGGTGGCTGGTGTGTAGTGTGTAGGTAGCAGGTAATGTTGTGGCTAGTGTGTAGTGTGTATGTAGCCGGTATAATGTTGTGGCTGGCGTGTAGTGTGTATGTAGCAGGTATAATGTTGTGGCTGGTGTATGGTGCGTATGTAGCAGGTATTGCGTGTTTGACTCACTTGCGTGGCGGCAGCGGCGGCTGCTGTTCGCTGAGCGAGTGTTGTGTGGCCTTCAGGTAACTCTGGCGTCTGGCAGCCGTTTTGGGCGAAGGTTTGGGTGAAGGAGGTCCGTCCGAGTCTTCGCTGTCCTCCATGTCTCCCATGGCTTTAACGTAACTGCCACTGCGCATCCGCCTGCACGGGATCTCACCTGTGCCGCCTCCTCCCTTACCCAGCGTCCCGCTCCAGTCACCTGCAGGCACCTGCCAAAAGACATAATACACTTACACTAGCCACAATGGATCTGGGGCAAAGGATGTCAATTAAAACATCGGAAATGTACTTTAAAATACATGTGATGAGTTCTTTATAGTAGTAATTGGCCATTTATAGTAATGTATCTTTTTTAAAATAAATATTTGTATTTATTATTATTATTGCATGCATTACTGATGCATTTATTATTAAAAAAGTAAACAATTTTGTTCAAATATTTGATTTTTAAATATTTAATATTATTCATATTTGTGTGTCTGTGCTTGCATAGGATTTATTACTATAATTGTTAGTGCATTTATTATTATTATTATTATAATTATTATACAAATATTTGAAAACAAATTTTAAACATATTTGAAAAATGCTGTTGAGATTATTATTATTATTATTATTATGTATATAAATATTTGTTAAAAAATACATATAATATTTTATAATAATTATGTTTGTAATAACATTACATATTATGTTTAAAAATCATTATTATTGTATTTATTATTTTTATATATTTATTATTATTTATTATATACGGTATATTTATTATTATATAAATTATTTTTAATATATAACATATAAAAAATAATAAATAAGTGATAAATAATAAAAAAGTGATACAAAATGGTTATTTGGTATTACAATCAACATACAGACTACTATGAAATCTTCTATGCCTTATTCTTGTTGTATTTGTCACAGTCTTAAGAAATCTCTCTCCCATTTGTCTTTCTTTCATGTCTGTGTGTTACCTGTAGGAAGTTGCAGGTCATCTCCTGGCCGTGGCAGGACTTGGACTTGAGCAGGGTCCGGTTGACGGTGGTGGAGCTCTTCTGAAGCACCTGTCGGGCCTGACTGAGGGTCAGCGTGGACCACGAGCCTCTCTTCACAAGCATGTGTTCCCCCGTCTGGCCCGTGGAGGGTGGCAGGCTGACCGTGGGCTTGAGGTCGCCGCTGCTCTTGGAGGATTTGAGCGAATGCGCCGCGATGGTGTTGTAGCCCTGCGGATGCGGTCTGGGAGCCGCCTGACTGTCCGACACGGCCCTGCCCAGCGTCATCATGCTAAGAGGGTTTCGATACGCCACCGCTAATGGGCCTGTGGCGGGTTGAGCCGGCGGCTCGTCCTCCAAACCGTCATCCGAGCTCCAGAAGCCTGAGAGATTGGGTCGCGGACGGCGTTTGGTGCCTTCGGTCTTGGCGGGGTCTTTGCTTTTGCTTCGCCGGGTCGCTTTGGCCGCATCGCCGGCTTGGCCTGCGGTGATGCTCCCTTTGACCGCCGAAACCTCCAGGGATTGGGACTTGGCGAAGAGTTTCTGGACGGACTGCACCAGGTTGCGGATGCGGCTGGGACTCTCGCTGCGCTGCTTGGAGCCGCGGCTGCGCCGGTGGAACTGCAGCGTGCTGAAGCCGTCCCGCTGCAGTGGTAGGTGGCGCTCCAGCTGGTCCAGCAGGTTGGCCGGGAGCCGGTTCATCTTGGCGGCCGCCGCGGATGAGATGGTGGCTGTGCCGCTGCTGATCATGGCTGGAGCACCCAGTCCCAGACCCAAACCCATGCCCATGGACATGGAGGACGTGAGGGTCCCGGAGCGACTACCGGTCTGAACCACACAAGCCTGCTGAGACAAAACACACCATCATAAAATTAATTGAAAAATATTCAGATACACTATTTACACTACTTACTATTTTAAGTGTGAGCTAAATATGATTTCAAAACTGTACATTTGTTGACTGTATTACATATGTCACATGCACAATATTAGAACAGTTTAACAAATATTTATATGGTATTATTAATTATTAAACAAATATTTGCATTTATTATTATTATTGCACTTATTATTTATGTATTTATTATCATACAAACAATTGTACAGTATATCACCTGTACAATATTACAATTAGTTCAAATATAAATAAATTATTTTGTAACAAATATTTGTATTTATTATTAATTATATTATTATTATTATTATTATTATTATTTATGTTTATTATACCAGTGTTTGTATAACACATGCACAATGTTATAATTAGTTTAAATATAAATAAGGATTTGTTAACAAATATTTTATTTATTATGAATTATTATACAAATATTTATTCTTATTATTATTACTACTACTACTACTACTACACATTTATTTATTATATTATCTTAAAGCATTTAAAAAATGTCAAGAAAAGTTCAAATGAAGTCCTGTTTGACTGACATTGATTTTATCACCAGAGACTGTCAACTGGCTGTAATTTTTGGTCATACATATTAATATCACATATAAATATACATATTATTTTTAATATACATTAATATACATATTCATTTTTTGCATTTAAAATTGCAAAATGCAAACATTTCAAATACATTTTTTAAATTTTATTATGTATTTGTTTATTTATGACAACAAATGCACAAATTAATTATTTAAATTAAAAGTTCAATTAAATTAAAATTAATTAAATTAAAGTTTAATAATAATAAATAATTTCAAATATTTGTATAATAATTAATAATAAATACAAATATGTGTATTAAAGGGTTAGTTCACCCAAAAATGAAAATTAGCTTGTGTTATATGACTTTCTTCTTTCAGACGAATCCAGTCGGAGTTATATTAAAAATTGTCCTGACTATTCCAAGCTCTATCATTGCAGTCAGCGGGTGTTGCAGTGCTTCAGTCCAAAAGAAGTGAAATAAAAAGCGCCCATCCATAATAAAGTATTTCACAGGGCTCCGCGCTCCGGAGGGTGAACAAAGGCCTCCTGTTGCGAATAGATGCGTTTTTATAAGAAAAATAACCATATTTAAAACGTAATAATCAATTTAATCTAGCTTGCGCTCACTGTTGTAAATGGAAGCAGTTCCGGGGGAATGACGTATGAGTTCAGCACTGCGCATGCGCCGCTCAGAAGTGACGCATGCGGAAACGCAGCAGAGAGATCAAAACAAAACAACGGTCAAGAATTAGAAGTACAAAATGAGGATTTGTAAAAATTAATGTCAGAGGATTTCGATATAAGCCGAGAGGAGACTGGTTTTCCTTTGCTAAAGTAAGGAAACTTTGCTTCCTTTGCTCCTGTTAACAAACGTTGGTTTTCACGAGATTCACCGGCGCATGCGCAACGCTGACCTCATACGTCATCTGCCCGGAGCTGCTTCCGTGTACAACTGTGAGCGCAAGCTAGATTAAAGTGATTATTACATTTTGAATATGGACATTTTTCTTACAAAAACGCATCGATTCGCTACAGAAGGCCTTTGTTCACCCCCGGAGCCGTGTGAGACACTTTTTTTTATGGATGGGTGCTTTTTATTTAACTTCTTTTGGACTGAAGCACTGCAACACCCGCTGACTGCAATGATAGAGCTTGGAATAGTCAGGACAATTTTTAATATAACTCCGACTGGATTCGTCTGAAAGAAGAAAGTCATATACATCTAGAATGCCTCCGGGGTGAGTAAAAAACAGCCTGATTTTCATTTTTGGGTGAACTAACCCTTTCATATTAATATATTAATACGAATTTCAATAAATATATATTAGTCAACAAACTTACCTTTTTAAACTCAAAACATATGAATTTATATTGTGATGCATAATGCATTAAATAATGGACAAGATGAATAATTGCATGAATAAAATAATTTTTGATGTGTATTCCATGCTTTTTTTTATCGATTTCTATTCAAATGTATATTGTTTATAAATTTATTTTATATTTTACATCTACACTATTGTTCAGTCTTGTTGAGTCAGTACTTTTTTATTTGAAGGAGAAGAATAAATTTTTTAGCAAATGCTTTTATTCAGCAAGGATGCATTAAATTAATAAAAAGTGACAGTAAAGACATGTATAATGTTACAAAAGTTTTCTATTTCAAATAAATGCTGTTCTTTTGAACTTTCCACTTAAAAAAATTAAATTAAATAAAATGTATTTCAGTTTCCACAAAAATATGAAGCAGCACAACTGTTTTCAACATTAATAATAATCAGAAATGTTTCTTGAGCAGCAAATCAGCATATTAGGATGATTTCTGAAGATCATGTGACACTGAAGACTGGAGGAATGATGCTGAAAATTCAGCTGCGCATCACAGGAATAAATTACATTTTACAATAAATTCAAATAAAAAAAAGGTTATTTAGAATTGTAATAATATTTCCCAATATTACTGTTTTTACTGTATTTTTAATCAAATAAATGCAGTATGGTGTCAGTACCTGTGTGTAGTCGCTCTGCTCCGGCTGGTTGGTGTAGTGGAGGCGTGGGAAGGTGCTGCTGTTGGTCAGCTGGTTGTTGAAGGGCAGCAGGCAGTCCGACTGCAGCGTCGTTGGGGTGGAAACAGGAAAATGATGGAGGTGAGGATCCAGAGTGGCGTAATGGTTGATGGTGGGGCTCAGGAGGAAGGCAGCATGGGGGTCCGGGGCCAAGGGACACAGGGGCTCCTGGGGGCCCGCGGTAGGGTCGCAGGTGTCGGACAGATGGTGACTACGGTTGGCCCCTAAGCCTTTCATGGTTGCTGCGCAGGGTCGGCTCTAGAACATGATCCCAGATGAAGAGAGATGACGGCCCTGGAGGGCGACCCCTACAGAACAGACATAGAAACACACTGTCCGTGTCAGTTCAGATCCAGCTGGTTGCAATGATGAACCTGCTGAGCGTAAGTGCACACTGGTTTTCTTCAATCATGTTTTCATGTCTTTGCAATTAACTGAAATAAAATACATTTAAAGAAACACTAAAATGACTCAAACTGAAACTGAAATAAAAATAAAGCTAATTAAAATGTGTGCTTTTTTAATTGAAAGAATATTAAATATAACTAGCAGATGAAAAATGTAAACTTAAAACAATTGCATTTAAACTTAAAGAGAATTAGCAACTAACTAAAATAAAATATGTTTAAGAAATATTAAAATGATTAAAACCAAAACTGAAAATAAATTAAAGCCAAGTAAAATATATAAAAATATTTTGTTCATAGAAATTAAATTAAATATAACTAGTACATAGATGAAAATGTACACAAACATTTTTTTTCTTAAAAACTTAATCGAAACTTACTGAAAAACTGAAATAAAGTTTCATAAATACTAAAAATACTAAAACAATTAAAAATTTAAAGAAACTAAAAAATAAATTGACAAAAGCACCACAAAATGACTCAATCTGATGTTCACATCTTTGCTTTTCCATTTGAAATTTGGCAGTCACTGTGTGTTCGCGAAAGTGAAAACGCAAACGGTAATGCAAGATGTGCAATTGCGCTTGGATTATGTCCCAATTTATGCGTCCACATATGGAAAACGCAATTAAAAATACAATTTGCAAATAGTCCGGATTATCCTTCCATACTTAGGGGCCGTTCACACGGAACGCGTTTTTCAGTTCCAAAACTGTGGACCAATCAGAAGACCCCAGAGGCGGAGCAAGTGTTGCGAGCTTTTGTTTACAGTAGCAAGAGGCATGGCAACTGTTTTATCTGACGGCGCCTTTTTCCTGCGCGCTGAGGCCCTGTTTACACTAGTGTTAACTTTTGCTACAGTTACGCCTGTTGTTTACACTTCTCTGGCGTTTTTGGCCTTCGAAAATGAAGACTTTCGAAAAACGTATAACATGGAGACTGAACTGCAAACTTTCCTGGCTTCGTTGTCATTTTTAGCAGCCATTGTGCAGCTAAATTCAGTATACAGCGAGGCAAGCTGTGCTCAGAGCAATCGGCAACAAAGACGTCCATGCTTTTCCTCGCCATTAGGGATATAGCGATTAACTGCAAGCTGGTCGAAAATCTATTAAAATATGTGACTATTCAAATCGGTTGAGATGCCAAACAAATCGCGATACAATTGGAGTAGGAGTTTATATGAATGTATCTCTGAGGGGAACTGAATGTCTTTAGAAAAGAAAGGTATTTTCTTTTCCTCTTGCCTCTGTACAATGCATATTAAAGCAGTTTTCATAAGCGCAGCTCTGCTTTGTTTACAGAGTTAACCAAGGAAACACTGTATCATTGCTGTTCATAAGCGCCACCTGCTGTCAGAGAGTGAATCTGTGTCTCATTCAGCTCGTCTCATTTCCTTCAGAAGTGTTTTATGTAGCATCGTTTCACAAAACTAAAGTCAGACCATTTTGCTTTTGCTTCAAATTTCAAATTCAGAGATTAAAAACTACTCATGCTGCATCTTTGTTTGGATCAAGATTAAAATCCAGTGGTTGCCTCTAATTTTAAATGGAAAGAGCACAGACAAAGCCTTAGTTTGTTCATATTAAGAGATTTCTTTTATTTGTGTAACTTACTTGTTTGATTTGGGGTTTGATTTAAAATTTCAATTTAGTTTTGTTATATTTCAATTTCACAAAGCAACGTGCCGCAATAGCCTAATAACAAATTTACTGTCTTCAATCTCAATTTGTAAAAAAAAATTGAGAGAAAATCGAATCGTGAAATCAAAATCGTGAATCGAATCGTGAGTCGAGTGAATCGTTACATCCCCACTCGCCATCATGCTCATTGTTGTACCTGCCAGTGACTAGCAACCAACTTACTGTTTACACTTTTACGCGCATGCCCAGTGTGCAGGAATGGTCATGTGACATGCGTTTTCGGTTGTGTAGTGGGGACGGGATCGTTTATGAAACGCAGTGAAAACGCCAGTGTAGACGAGGTTTTAAAACGAAAACGCATTTTCGCGTCTCGCGTTTTTTAGAAGCAAAGATGAGTTCTGTGAATGACTCCATAATATCTAAAACATATATTCCATCTCAAGTAAACATATCTTGATTTTTTAGATTGTGGTTTTTGTAACAGAAAACAAGACAAAACCAAAATTTTTTGCATTGTATTTCTTCATTATTTCAAACAGTGAACAGCAGGTTTCTATAGTCTACATGCAAATTCTTCCCAATCAAACTCTCTCATGCTCACATTCACACTATTCTACTCGTGCCTGTGAGGCTCATGAAACCAGCATCTTCATCATCTGTGAGTCGCTCTTCGCCCATCGACATTCATCTGGAGCTGGATATGTGAAAGTCACACACTCATCGTGAGCCGAATCGCCCGAGACATCGACTCAAACGTCTCCGCAGATCGCAGCGCCATTCACAAAACCTCACAAAGAGCTCTATTGGCATGCTAAACATAGCTGTTTTCATCTGTCATCACTGCTCTCAATGGGGCCACGCGATGAGTCACGGCGCCGTCAAAGAGCCTGAACAGCTCGTTAGCATTCAGCCCGCAGCTGCACCTCCTCCCGAACGAACGGGCCCCCGGAGGAGCGCCGTCACCACTCACGCTCGCAACCCGAGGCCATTACAAACACCTCACGCGCGTTTGCTACGAGGAAACGAGTTAGTTGACAGTCATTTTGCGTGCTTTGAAAGCCACCAACTGGGGTCCTGATGCCTGGCTGAAAATAAAAGAAATCAAAACGCATGTTTCGTGTGTGAAATGTGAAACTCTCACGAGGAAATGTCACTCCAGTGACCTTCATTGTGTCGCTTGCGGTTTGCTTAAAGGTTGAAATGAAAATTCTGCTGCCATTTACTCACCTTTATGCCTTATGGGGTTTAAAAGACGATTCATATTCAGTAAGATTAATGCACTTAAGATTTAATGCACTGACACTACAGCATTAGAGCAAAATCTGAATCGAATTAAGCTGAATAATAACAATTGAGCTGCTTTATAGCTGAAATGTATTATTTTTTTCATAATTGATTAATTTGACAACATTAACACATTAAGTAGCATATAATAAAAAAAAACTATTTTGTTAATTGAAATAAAACAAGTAAAATTAAACAATTAGTAGATAAAAATGTTAAACTTAAAAAAATTTAACTGTTGTCTTGAAATGTTGTCTGTATATGTATGTATGTATATATATATATATAAATTAATTGAAATAAAACTGAAATTGAAATTAAATTAAAATATCCAGTAGATGAAAATGCCATGCCATAAATGCTCATTTTCATTTAATGTTGAAGTACTCAAATAACTAAAACTAAATAAACTACCATTAATAAATAATAAATTACTAAAACTTTAAAGTGAAAACAGAAAATATAAAAGAATATGCTATAATATATTTATTTATTTATGCATGTCAAATATGGCTATGTGAAACATGAATTATTTAGGGGCTCAAAAATAATAATTACAACTATTTATTTTTAATGGACTCAAACATATTCAAATACATTAATGTCACAGATAAAAGCATTAAAGACTCAAAAAGTGGCTTTAGAAGCAAATATATTTATTTAAAATCATTTAACATATTACATTTTATAACAACATTTTTACATTTTAAGATATTTTTTGAATTAACTGTAATAAATGACCACTTATAATCTAAATATTTATTATTTATTAACTAGACTGTTAATTCTTTAATTAATTAATTAATTAATAAGAATGATATATCAATATTACTTTATAATAAAATAATTATAGTTAATTATTTACATTATGAACTAGACTTTATGAAGCATTTTAAAAGTCTGGCTATGTGAGATATGTGAAAACAAAATTAGCATCTATAATCAAAATATTTACTTTTAAAATATGCATGAATGTTTTGCATGATGTGAATGAAACCAAAACAGCAAAATAAGCCAAATGACAATCACCTTTGGAAAGTGTTTCATCTAAATCCATTCAGTGCGGTTTTACCTCGAAAAGCCTCACTACACTGAAGCCCAAAGCTGAATTTAAAGCAGGACATGCAGCAGCGGGACGTCTCGCCTTCCTCAGATCACAGTGTGGTTACTGACCCAGCGCTCATCTCTGTCCTCTACTGGAAACACAACCACATCAGGAACAACTACAGCACTGAGCCAGAGTGTCAAACAGCACACTATCACACTACTGTAATATGTCTGTACAGCAGGCACATTTACTGTATGCATACAATATCCAGATGGCCTGCTACATTTGCTGAAGTTTGTAGTAAACAACAAAGCCCACTATATATATATCCAACAATGCAATGCTATCAACTTGACCATCCACCCAATTTCATAAAAAACTGCGACTGCGACTTTTCTGAGACTGTAACCTTGATTTTGCTTGTTGAATAAAGCATGGAACCTAGTGAGTGCGCGTACGGTACAAGTGCACAATGCAGCTTACCAGCATTTGAAACACTTATTATGCCATGATGCATAGTGATTCACTTATTATTTCATAAGCACTGTAATAAGAATCAGACAGGGAAAAAATACATTTCACACTTTTAAGAGCGCTCCAAACAAACTGATCACTAGTAAACCATTAAAACATTTCGTTACTTAAAATAATATATATATATATATATATGTGTGTATTTTATTTCAGCTAGCTGCCAATGCAACATTTCTGATTTTTGTTTAGTTTACCTTGATGTACTAAAATAACAAAAACTGAAATAAAATTAATACAAACTACCTAAACAAAAAAATAAAAATAAATAAAAATGACTTTAAAAACTTTAACTAAAACTGATATGAAATTAGAAAAATAAAAAAAAATTCTACATATTAATAAAAACCTTAAAGACATCAAAAAATTAAAATAAAATAAAACATAAAAACGACAAA